CCTCTGTATCTGTGACAGCGATGGTCAACCAATCGACACTATTCAAGACTTATTTACGCACAAGGCTACAAGCAAAATGGGGAGAGGAGGGAGGAGGGCCAAGCTCTCATACGAAGAATATGTTCTAAGCGTTCACTGTAAAGAAATATTTATAGAAAAATTGTTCACTGTAGCCTCATTAGGAGCAGAGAAAAACTAGAAGCAAATGAAATACTTATCAATAGGGTATTGAGGGGCTGGCACTGTGGCATAGTGGATAAAGCTGCTGCTTGCAGTGCCAGCATCCCATATGGGTTCTGGTTGGAGTCCCAGCTGCTCCACTTCTGATCCAACTCTCTGCTGTGGCCTAGGAAAGCAGTGGAAGATGGCCCAAGTCCTCTGGTCCCTGCACCCACATGGGGGACACTGGGGAAGCTCCTGGATCTTGGCTATGGATCTGCTCAGCTCCGGTGCAGCCATTTGGGGAGTTGGCCAGTAGATGGAGGATCTCTCTCTCTCTCTCTCTCGGCCTTTCTGTAGTTCTGCCTTTCAAGTGAATGGATACATATTTTTAAACATAAATCAATAAGGCTGGCGCCGTGGCTCACTAGGCTAATCCTCCGCCTGCGGCGCCGGCACACCGGGTTCTAGTCCCGATCGGGGCACCGGATTCTGTCCCGGTTGCCCCCCTTCCAGGCCAGCTCTCTGCTTTGGCCAGGGAGTGCAGTGGAGGAAGGCCCAAGTCCTTGGGCCCTGCACCCCATGGGAGACCAGGATAAGTACCTGGCTCTTGCCATCGGATCAGCGTGGTGCACCGGCCGCGGAGGCCATTGGAGGGTGAACCAACGGCAAAAGGAAGACCTTTCTCTCTGTCTCTCTCTCTCTCTTACTGTCTACTCTGCCTGTCAAAAAATAAAAAATAAAAAAAATAAATCAATAAAGTATTGAATAAAGACATCATTGTCAACCCATATTATGGAATTCTATACAGCCATTTAAAAATATCAAAGTAGGGATAGGTGTTTAGCATAGCGGTTAAGACATTGCATAGGATATCTGCATTCCCTTCTGCACTGCCTGGCTCTGATTCCTGACTGCACTCCTGATTCCAGCTTCCTGGGAATGCACACCCTGGAAGGCAGCAGATGATGGGTCAAAGAGCTGGGTCCTGGTCACTCACACTGGAGACCCAGCTTCTGGCTTGGGCGCAGCTCAGCCAGCCCTGGTTGCTGCAGACTTGTTGGGGAATGAACCAGTGGATGGGCAACATCTCTGCAAATATGTATGGTTAGGAAGACAGATCCAAAATAAAATATTGTTGTTCATAAATGTTTAAAACTATATGGCACCATGGAGGGCTCGCATTGTGGTATAGCACTTAAAGCTGCCCACTTAAAGCAGTGGCACCAGCATCCCATATGGGTGTCGGTTCAAGCCCTGCCTGCTCCATTTCCAATTCAGCTACCTGCTAATGGCCTGGGAAAAGCATCAGAAGATGGTTCAAGTGTTTCGGCTCCTGTTACCCACATGGGAGACCTGGATGAAGCTCCTGGCTGGTGGCCATCTGGAGAGTGAACCAACAGATGGAAGATCTCCCTCTCTGTAACTCTGAGTTTCAAATAAATAAATCTCATATATATACACAATATATAATATATAATAAACAAATTATATAATAATTATATAATGTATAATAAATATCATATATAATAAATAAATAAATATACGGCAACGTGAGGCCAGCGTTGTGGCTCAGTGGGTTAAGCCACAGCCTGTGACACCCACACAAGCATCTGTTAGAGTCCTAGCTGCTCCACTTCCAATCTCGCTCCCCGGGAAAGCAGTGAAGGTGGCCCAAGTATTCGGTCTCCTGCCACTCACGTGGGATATCTAGATGGAATTCTGGGCTCCTAGCTTTTCAAATCTCTAAAAAAAATGTATGACACCCTATCCTTTGTTGATATTGGCTAACAGATCAAATGAGGAACCAAGGATAATGGACGTCTTCTGACTCCTAGTGTCCCAGATCACCCATTAACAGCATCACAGAACTGGAAGTCCCTTTAACCTTCACCCACTCCTAAATTCTCAGTTTCACAGGCAAGGGCACCTATAAACAACTTGACCATGGTATGGGCATATCCCACAGATGGGCTGACCTGCCTTTACTGGAAATATACTTAGAAAGTTTTATTTTTGAATTTGAGATCATTAAATTGAAAAAAAAATGTTTTCCCAGGAATTTCAAAATCCTTGGTGGATACAGTGTAACAACATTTACTCCTTAATTTTGAGAAGTCAAACTTTTTAATTACAATTCAAATAGACTGGAGACTCGATGAATATTTGATACAATGGGCAGTGGCATATTTTTAAAGCAAAAGTCCTTAAGCTTCAGAATGAACAGAATGATCTGGCTAAGAATAAATCAGAGCAAAAGTTTGGTACAGCAGTTAAGCCACCAGTTGGGATACCTGTATCCCGTACTGGTGCCTGGGTTTGAGTCTTGATTCCAGTTTCCTGTTAACGTACACTCTGGGAGGCAGCCAAGTGATGGCTCAAGTGCTTGGGTTCCTGCCACCCATATGGGAGACCTGGATTGAGTTCTTGGCTTCTGACTTCAGCCTGGCCCAACCCTGGCTGCTGTGGGCATCTGAGAGATAAACCAGCCAATGGAAGATTTTCTCTCTCTCCTCTCTCTCTCTCTCTTTCTCTTTTGCTCTGTATTTCAAAAAATAAAATTTTGAAAATATGATTTTTTCAAACTTGCTCAATTAAACAAGTCCTTCAGTAAATGCGTTTAACAAACCATAGTATTTTGTCACTTGGTAACAAGGTTGGTTGTAATTGATACACATTTATCAACTAGTCTTTCCTTTTTTTTTTTTTTTTTAAGATTTTTTATTTGAGAAGCAGTTAATGAGAGAGAGGGCGAGAGATCTTTCATCTACTGGTTCACTCCCCAACTGACTACAACATCTGAGGCTGCACCAAACCAGGGCCAGGAGCCAGAAATTTCCTTCAAGTCTCCTACGTGCGTGGCAGGGGCCCAGGTACTTGGGCCATCTTCTGTTGCTTTCCCACGTGCGTTAGCAGGGAGCTGAAGCAGAAGTGGAGAGGAGGGAATGGAACAGGCGCCCTGAGGTGAGAAGCTGGTGTCGCAGGCAGTAGCCTAACCTGCTGCTCCACAATGTCAGCTTCTGGTCTTTGTTTTTTCTAACCCATTCCAATATTAAAGCATTTTCTATTTTCTGGAAAACGCATAATGTATTTTGCCCCGTGGAATTTAAAAAGAAAATATTTCAAAACTCTCATCACTCCTTAGCCTGTTCTTTTCTTCGGCTCAAATTATATGCCAAAAAAGGGCTGACTCCCGACTGCTTCTGACCCCACAAATCGGTGTTCCCAAGCTCCTCAATCTAACACAATGCCTCAAACTGTCTGCAGCATCTCCCTAGTCCCGCATGGCCAGGAATAACCTGTACTAACGAGTTTAGCTGAAAGTGCCACTTGGGGGCCGTCAAAAGAGCAAATACCAACATAAGGCAGGCTTTCTCCTTGAATTTTTCTGTTTCAGGAGCTTTCTAAAGGGCAGCGTCTGCCCTCTGGCTCTCTCCGGCTGTGTAAGTCAACAATGAGCCAGTGCAAGGTCCTAACAAACCACAAGCCGCTCTAATCCCATTTGCCTGGAGGTCATGGCAGATCCCACAGGACCAACCACAAGCATGGGGCAGAGCAAGGCCTTGGTCAGGGCTTGAAAGAGCTGCTTAGTCTCCAGCCACTGAAATGTGGCTGTGAGCAGGAACAGGAGCACAACTCTACGGCTCTCATCTATAACCCACTCTTCATGTTGGTCCCAGCCCAAGCAGGATGCCCAAGAACAGAGCAAGGGAAGCAGAGGATAGGATACCCCTCTCCTACTCTTAACTTCTCCAAAGTCTCTTTTCCTTTCAACTCAAAGGCCACCTCCCACATGAAGCCTGCCTCAACTGAGTTACTTTGAATAGTATCTCCCAGGGACCTGCTAATCATTCTGCTCACTCCCTCCAGTCAGTGATTGGCCCAGGATTTGTTGCATTACATAGGCTGAGCCAATCAGGTTCCCAATGGGGTTTGCATGCAGATGCTACCTTCTTCTAGAATGTTCTCTCTGGTAGAACAGCTCTTTGGGGTCATACCAGCTTGTGGCCATGCTTTCTGTTTTGGATTTTTCCCTTCTACTGCTTTCTATCCCATGCCACACACATCCCCTCCACCTTATAAGGGAAGTTTGTTTGCAGGGAAGATTGAAGCCAACACAGTGAGAGAAAAGAGGTAGCAGGAGATGAAGAGGGAGAGGGAACACAATCACTTGGGTGTCTTGCCTGAAAACTTGCAGCCAAGGAGTGAGTAGGAGCTGCAATCAGCCAGCCTGAATTCTGCACACCCTGGAAGGGGCTACCTTCACTTGAGGAAGGGACCCTCCTCTCCTTTTTTATTTTTGATTTTCCTTCAGACAAAGGCTCTGTTAACCAAGCCTTCTTCTAAGGCACACAAATGTGCTGCGTATGCCAGAGAGAGAGAGATGTGTGTGAGATTAGTGGAGCCCTTAGAGTCACTCCCACCCTCCCCAGTAACAGCCAACTATGCCTACATCACTTGGGTTTTCGTCACTTGCAACCAGAGGAGTCCTAATTCCCCAGAACAGACACCCACGTTGGTTCAGATAAAACACCGTGCTTGTTTTAGCCTTGACCTTCTTATCAGCCACTGCTGTGGGACTCTTCCTTGAGTCATGGGATCGTTAGCATCCTTCCTTTTCTTTCCTGGCCACCCAGACCACATCTAATGCAGAGACAAGGCGATAGCAAAGTCAAGTTCAATTTGACAATGCTGCTGAGAGTGTCTTCATGAAAACGACTACCTGGGATCCCTTTCGCAGCCCCTTTGGTCCTCTCTCCGCTGAGGACCTGGACTGCAGTGTGTGTTGCAGACACTGCCTTATCTTGACGATGCTTCGTGTGCGAGGCACGCTCACTTACCCCCGCTGGTGTCGGTCCAGCTCGTGGAGCACCGTGTGGTCGCAGTACTCGAACACCAAGTGAAGCCTCCGCTTCCTCCTGAACACTTCCAGGAGGTTGACGAGGTTGGGATGCTTGAGTTGCTGGAAACACACAAAGCAAGGGGCTCAGTCTGAGCTCTGAAAGGCAGCTGTAACATTACTCCAATGAAACAGAAGCACACTAGGGACAGGGGCATAGCACGGCATTTAAGACGCGGTGTGGAACACGCCGGTCCCACACTGGCACACCTGGGTTTATTTTTCCCAGCTCTGGGTCCTGACCCTAGCTTCCCACTAACGTGCATGCAGGGAGGTGGTAGTGACGGCTCAAGTAGTTGGGTTCCTGTTCCCCATATGAGAGACCCAGGACTGGGCTTCTACCTCCTGGCTTTGGCTTGGTCCAGCTCAGACTGTTGTGGGCATGTGGAGGGTGAATCAATGAATGAGAGCTTTTGTGTGCTCTCTCTGCCTCTCAAAAAAAAAATCAATAAAAATATAAACTTGAGAAAAAAGAAAGCTGCTTGTCTGTTCAGAGTTTTACTTCTTGGATTGAAGGAGGCTGGAATGTCTCTCTTCCTCCTCTTCAGAGCCATTTGTTGGTAGCTTGTAAATGAAAAAATCTAACTCAGGTGGATGGTGGAAGCAAAGAGGAGCATGACAAGGCTAGGAAAGAAAGCAGAGCGGGAAGGAAGGGGAGACTCCAGTTTGTGCAAAGCCAGTCTTCCAGGCGCTGAGCAGATGTCCCTTCCCAAGGAGGTCTCCGTGATGCCCCCAGGTGGTTCAGTGCCCTGTGTCCCTCATGTCTCAAAGCCCTCCCAAACTATGCCTCTTTCAGAGTCACTCAATGACAAATACGCAACTCTTATTCGGTAATCATCATTCAGTTCATTGTTTCATGTCTTCTGGGTACACATGCAACAGACGAATTCAGTAGCATCTAAGAAACAAGGCATCGGGAGCTGTGTTCCCTCCTTGGCTGCACCCCAGCACACCAGGCTTTCCACACTGAGCTGTGAATGCATGAGTAAACACGCTCCCTAGCTGATGAAGCATTTTCAAAACAGAAAAACAAGGAAGCCTCTTCAATCAGACGCAGCTGTCAAGTGTGTGTGGCGAAAAGGCAGCAAGAATGTTGGCTTTGGCGGAGAGAGATCTGGGAGTCAGCTTGCTGACCCCTCAGTACATAATCCCACCAGAAAAACTCCAGCTAGGCACTGGTCTCTCTTTTTTCATGTGCTAAGGAAATAAAACAATTTCACAGAGAAACATATCAATCATGGATTGTCTCTGGGGTACCCATCCTTGTTCCTTGCTCTAACAGATCACTATTAGTATCTGCTTTAGTTATGGTGTGATTTGAACAGCTGGCACATCTCTCTCCAATTCCTCTTTGATAGTGTTACCAGATTATGTTCTATAAGAATCTTGGAGTCATGTGTTACTTTGTCATATTAGCTTCCTTCTGCCCATTTGAGATATTGTTATCAAAGCACGGGACGGAGAATTTACCATCCTAATGATGGTTAAGCGTCTAGTTCCATGGTATCAAGTACAGTCGTGTTATTGCATAACCATCACTATCATCCATCTCTAGAATGCTTTTCACTTGCAAAACACTGGCTCCCCATTGCCCCCTCCCCTGAGCTCTTGGTAACCACCATTCTTTTGGTCTCTATGATTTTGGCTACGCTAGGCTCCCCACAGAGGTGGAATGATACAGCATTTGTCTTTTTGTAAGTGGCTTATTTCACTCACCGTAATGTCCTCAAGCGTCATCCCTGAGTTAGCATGTGTTAGGATCTCCTTCCTTCTTAAGGCTGAATAACGTTCCACCGTATGTGTACGTCATTTGGCTTATCCACTCACGTGTCTCTCAGTGAACACTAGGGTTGCTCTCACTTCCCGGCTGTTATACCCAAGGCTGCTAGGAACAGCATTTTCATTTGCAAAACTGAATCTGTGCCCATTAAACAGTCACTCCCCATAAGCGTCTGCGTGACACTGTTTTCCACATTTTCAGTTGTAAGCAGGGACCAGGCATCTGTTTGGTTTGGTTTGTTTCCCCCAGTTTCTCCAGGCAACTCAATGTGTTGCCAGAGGTATTAATCACAGGAATGCGTGTATTCCCTAAGCGATAAAAGATGGGAGGAGAAAAACGAAGTTCTTGAACTGCATTCTGCAGCACTTCTGCAAGGGCGGGAAGAATAAAAGCCGCCTGCTAGGGAGACACTGAAAACATCGACTTTCTCATTTTCTTTGTAAGATCCCTCCATATCCTCAGGACGTAACATTCTACCTCCGGAGATTACACTTGGCGAAACAGTAGCAAACCTCCACAGGATCCTTAAGCCAGTATCTTAAGTCTTTTTGTGCTGCGGCACTGAAGTTGTTCAGGCTGGGCACTTTATAAAGGGCGCAGATGTGTTTTTGACTGTTCTGAGAAGTTCAAGCCCAGGTGCTGCCCTGGCGTCTGCTGAGAGCAGCTCTCTGCCTCCAAGATGGCGCCTGCTGCTGGGCTTCACACGGCCAAAGGCAGAGGGGCGAGGGAGCCCTCCTCCACCCTCAAGGCCGGTTACCAAGAGAACAAAGCCCTCAGGCCTCAATCACCGCCCAAAGGCCACACCTCTTTCCCCCCCCCCAAAGAAATCTTTGATTTAATGGGTACAAATTTCATAAGTACAGCTTTAGGAATATAGTGATTCTTCCCACCATACCCCCTACACACACCTCACCTCCTCCCTCTCCCATTCCCAGTCCTATTCTTCTTTAAGATTCATTTTTAATTAACTTTATACACAGAAGACCAGCTCTATACTAAGTAAAGATTTCAACAATTTGCAGACACACACACACACACACACACACACACACAGTGTTTGAGGGCAAGTTTTACAGTTAACTCTCATAATACAACTCACTGAGGACAGAGGTCCTACATGGGAAGTAAGTGCACAGTGACTCCTGTTGTTAATTTAACAATTAACACTCTTATGTATGACGTCATTGATCACCCGAGGCTCTTGACATGAGCTGCTATGGCTATGAAAGGCTTTTGAATCCACAATCTCCGTCAGTATTAAGACAAGGCCATTAGCAAAGTGGAAGTTCTCTCCTCCCTTCAGAGAAAACTACACCCTTCTCTGATTGTCACTTCTTTCCACTGGGGTCTCTTTCACAGAGAAAGCCACACCGCTTAATACTGTGCCTTCAGGGTTAAGCTTCAACATGAATTTTGGAGAGGCCAAGATCATTCCAACCATAGCAGTCCATTAGTGACATCTGGGTCTTAGAACAGAGGGTACCCCAAGCTATAAAATGCCACATTCAAGTTACTGTACCTAAAAGCTTTTCCCCAAAATTAACACTGTCCAGATGTCACAGGATAAAACTACTATTTTATTCCATCTATGTATATATACATGTATGTATGTATGTATCTTCCTACCTACTGATAGCTACACACACACACACACATATATATATATATCAATTATAAATATGTTTGAGAAACAGAGAGAGACAGGCAGACACAGAGAGCTTGTATCTGCTGGTTCATTCCCCAAATGCCTACAACAGCTGGGACTGGGCCAGGTCAAAACTGGACGCTGGGAGCCAGAAACTCAACCAAGTCTCCCATGGGGGAGCCATCATCACGGCCACCCGGATGTGCATTAGAGGAAGCTGGAGTCCCGAGTGGGTGGTGGGTACTGAATCCAGACCCTCCAGAGGGCACCCTAGCCCTCTGATGACTATTGCACTGGCTTGGATATCTCAAACAGCAAGCCAACAACCCAAGTCAAAGGGGCACCCAGTAGCTTTCTGACAGAATTAGCAAAAAGCAGAGGGCTCCTTTGGCTCCCAGATCTCAGCGGCCCCAGGCATTGCTTTCACTCTCGGTACTGACTCCACCCACAGACTTCGAACCTTAGAATCTTTTAATCCTCCACGTTCTGCATCTAGTCCTCGCTTGTACCCCCTGTCAACTTTTCAAACCCAAACTGCACACGAAACCGGCTTCAGTTCCACTGCAGTCCCTCACCCGTCTCTGAGTGCCAAGACCGGCACCGTCAAACCTGCCGCGTCCAAACTGGCAGCGCTCACGGCAGGGCACGGCTGCCGCCTCGCTCGGCTCCGCTGGCCTCTGCAGCCTCACCACCTCCCAACTCCTCCTCGACACACTGGATGTCTCTCACTTCCTCGGGCGCTCGTGCCCCACTCACCACCACCGCGGTCATGCGCTCTGTCCAGCTTCCCCTGAGCCACCCTAACACAGCTCAGATGCCCTGAAAGAGCTGTGACCTTGCATCCCACGCAAGGGGTACCTCCGTGGCAGGTGAAGGGCACTGTCACATCGGTCTGAATGGGACAATATACACTTATTACACCCATCATGCCACGCTACTCTATACCTTTTGAAAAATCTAGATTCTCAAAGATAAAATAAACAAATGGGATTACCTAAAATTGAAGAGTTTCTTAACAGCAAAGGAAACAGTCAGGAAAGCGAAGAGGCAACCAACAGAATGGGAGACGTTATTCGCAAACCACACAACAGATAAAGGACTAACAACTAGAATCTACACAATGATCAAAAAACACCACAGAATCAAAACAAACAACCCAATAAAAAAATGGGCCAAGGACCTTAACAGGCATTTTTCAAAAGAGGAAATCCAAATGGCCAACAGGCACATGAAAAAATGCTCAGGATCCCTAGCCATCAGGGAAATGCAGATCAAAACCACAATGAGATACCACCTCACTCCGGTTAGATTGGCTTACATACAGAAATCAACCAACAACAGATGCTGGCGAGGATGTGGAGAAAAGGGGACACTAATCCACTGTTGGTGGGAATGCAAGCTGGTAAAGACACTATGGAAGACAGTCTGGAGAGTCCTCAGAAACCTGAACATAGCACTACCACAGGACCCAGCCATCCCACTCCTTGGAATATACCCAAATGGAATTAAAGGGGTGAAAAAAGCCATTTGCACCTCAATATTTGTTGCAGCTCAATTCACAATAGCTAAGACATGGAATCAACCTAAATGTCCATCAACGGATGACTGGATAAAGAAACTATGGGATATGTACTCTAT